GCTGGGTCCATTTTGTCAATATTATTACGCATGAGAAAATCAAATGTCAAATTGTTTATGCTAAACAATTAATAATTAGAACGTTTTGAAATATGGAATACTTTTAATTTTTAAAATTAATTTATAGATAAATATCTAATACTCTAAGATCCATAGAAAACGAAATAAAAAATACCTAAATTTATTTAAATTCTTGAAAGTTGACACTACAATATTTACACTTTTTTATAAATATAAAATATCACTTTTGCAAACAGATATTTTTCTAATGCTCTCTGTTGCCTTTCACGGTGGATGGCACCTTAATAATAATTGTTTACGGAGAACGAGACACAGGAATATCCCGAAAATTTAATTCTTTAGTTTTTCTGACATGTTCTGTCGATATAGGATATTTTCAGAGCTGTAACTTTATGATGAATGAATGAATATACTATGAAAAGCTGACCCCAGAAAGTGACATCGGCTTTGTACTATGCTGTTTAAATTCTACTGCCACTGAAAAAAAAATCAAAAGGACCATTTTCAACTGTGCATTACTTCAAAACTGTTTTAGATATAAATCACACCTAAGTATAGCGCTATATAGACCTTATATCAAGCTTTCAACAAGTTCAAAGCACAAGCAACCAAATTTTTAGAACAATCTTATGTCCTCGTTTCCTCAAATTTCTATAAAATTATCTTACACAGATTATACAAAGATTAAATAAGACTTTTACAATCTAATATTTTCAACCGGAGCGACGGAAACAAACAAATGGGGTATGTTGTGTGGGTCAGTTAATATTTCAACCGGAGTATCTCAGCGTTCGATTCTGGTTTCATTATTCTTTATATTATTTATTAATCCTAATATTCTATTTACAGCTTTGGCAGATTGTGTTTTGCCTTTAATTTCGGATAATTCTCAATGCAATAACTTGATTAATTTTATCAATATTTGGTTCAGTGATCATTCTCTTTAAATAAACTTTACCTAAATTGTTGAATTGGACTAGAATATTAAATTCGCTGATAAAATTGCTAAATAAAAACACTGTGATTACCTAATACCAAAAGTAAACTCTCGAAGTTATATTCTGGGACAATTAAAATTAGTGCCTAAAATCCAACTTTTATTCAAATTTTATTCGATAAAACTAAAATATATGCATATAATCAATTCTACCAACCAACGAAAAATCCGAGAATCTATAGAAATCTATAAGCAAACATTATATAAGCAGTTACAGACTTGAATGAAAACCAGTTTCAGTTAAGTTCTGAAGAAGTCAACAGTGTGACTTGGCGATACGTCAGCAAGTTCGCATTAGGAATCCAGAAGTTTTGTAAATAATATTAAGTACTAGAAGTAGTTCAAAACTCCTCACAAACATTTGAAAATCAAAATTGACATTCCATTGTCCTCGAAATGTATTGCTATTAGTTTTTAATAATTTACAAAACAACATTAGGAGTTGCAAATTTTTAAAGTATTTCAAAGTTATGTTAGAGACTTTTTATTAGAAACAACTTTCTAACGTGTTGAAGATTATTTCCAAATTGTATCACAATCCTGACTGATCTGAGTGACTTTTAATATACAATGTATTATTGTCGATGAAAATAAACGTATTGTATGTATGTATAATGTATTGTGTTATAGTCATGTATTATAGTGATGTCTTCCCCATCACTGCCAGTCTAGCACAACAATTCACCCCACACTCTCATATTTTTGGAGTAAAGTATTTAATTTAGTAATTTTCGTTAGTTACAAATATATTTCAGGATTTTCCGCGTTACGGAAACCAAATGGGATATTTTGCATGTCAGAACCGAAAGCATCCGTAAAACCGGATTAAATGAGGGTTGCTTTTAATAAAAATGTTTCTACAAACATGATTACGATTTCCCTCTTTGATTGTTGACAACAGTCTTTCTCAAGTTACTTTATCAAGCGGACAAAACGGAATATTGTGTTTTTGAAGATGAAATCGGGAACGTCTTTTTGTATTATGGGAATTTAGCAAAAAGAAAGTCAAACGAAATTAACGAGCAAACAAAGTTCGACTCTTATTTTCTTTGTTTCACAATCTGCGTCGAAACGGAAACGAATTTTAATTAGCAATTGATAACTTTTTATCACGAAGAAACGTAGGTGACGGATGTCTGATTATAATTTAACATGCCATCTACAGGGCTTCTCGAAAGCAGCGTAAAAAAAAGATTGAATATTGAAAATGAATATTAAAATTTTAAGTTTCCAGTATAATTTGTGAGGCGGAACTAAAGGTATCTATATTTGTAAAAGGTAAAGATTTCGAAATGGGTCTATGGATTCTTGATGTCCGGATTCATGTTTATTTTCGACAGCTGCTAATAAGCTAATGAGGTCCTTTTAGTTGATTGTTTTTTTGTCTTGTCTTTAAAATGTTTCAAACGGAATTTTGTTTCTCATGGATGGAAGATATTGGGAAGTTTTTGGACAAGTGGAAGTCTAGTTTTAGAATTGTATTTCCTAAAAACTTTTTAATTGTGGTCAGTAATGTTCTGAATGTAAGGAAGGACCACAGTGGCAAGTGTGAGTACTATTTGGGAGGTTGTGAAGAAGTGTAGTTTGTAATGGAACGATTAATATCTCCAATGTGGAAATCATTAGAAAGAAGAGTAGATGTTTGCCGTTTTAATTCTGGATCCGGTGATTCAGCATTAAACATTTTTTCGGCTATTTAAACCAGAGAATTCATAATCGATAGTTTTTGAGCAGGATGGTGATGTGACAATGCAATAAGGTATAGCTCTGTGTGTCTGAAAACTGAATGAACCAATGTTCTTAACCATGAGACCAAATCACAAAAGTAACATCAACATCCATAGTTTTAGTCTTAGATAAAAACTGACGAAGGCTTTCTTATCCAAACTTTCCATAAATATATTCTCAATGACTGGTAATAATGGAGAACCCACGAAACCCCGATAGTTTTTCATAAATTTGGCAGTAAGAAAAGACAAATTTTTCCATTAATATGGGAGATTCAGGAACATTAATAAAGAGGCGGTTTCAATCTAATACTCGTATAATGTTATAATTGTTTAATTAAATAAAAGGAAGTAAATACGAAATTATCAGTTTCCGCTGTAAAGGCTTTCAATTTGGAAACTAGACATTTTGCTCAGGAATAGTTTGGAGAAGCAATGGTGCAAACAATATGTCGAAGGGTTTAACCTGGTTTGTCAATTTTAGGGAGCCGTAGAGAGCAGGAATTTGATAGTCGCGAGAGGTGACAAATTTTTTCACGGATTCAAATAGAGAAGAAACTTTAATAGGCGATTTATGGTTGCATCGATAATGATCTTTCTTAAGTGGAAAATAGGGTCCGTTTGTAAGAATGCAAACCAGTTCCAGTTAAGCTCCGACGAAGCTCACATGATGATCGGTAAAACATCAGTAAGTTTGATTCATCAACAATCAAAGCGGGAGGACTTAATTTTATAAATAATATTCACAGTATACACTTGTTTACGATCGTGAAAAAAGGTTCCGCTCAATTTCGGTGTCGGTCATAGGCGTAGGTGAACTTTGTGCAATAATATTATATTTTGTCACAAGAACGCAGCGAGTACTTAATAAACGATTGACCTAAAAAGTGCATCAAATGTGTTGCATATTATAATTTCTCTAATGCCATTAGTTTTTACGTACATTTTTCAAGCCGTGTGTAATATCTCGGAAATGTCCGAAGTGACCCACAGCTGTAAGTAACGAAACTAACGTTCCACTGGTTATTTTAGAGAAGGGATTAGAAAAAATATATTTTTGGTTCCTATTAAGTTAAAATTCAACTGACTGTTCAATTAACTGTCAGTTAAGTAGCGGTTGGTTAAACTTATTGATTTGAACTGCTTTTGCGAAAAAATCATAAATTAATGCATTGGAATAATAAGACTATTTACAATTTCAATATCAGAGAAGAATATTAGTGGTGTCTTTTTCCAACTTCTGCATCCAAATACTAAATAGTTTGAACAGTATACGAGAGTTGTAGCGCTCAGCTCAGATTTTCGTCGCCAGATGTCACCCCTAATAGGAGTAGGGGGTAGTTTTTGTGTTAGTGCTTCTTAGCAATTTTTTCCCCCTGTACGTCGCCGGACCGAGATTATTAGGTCACCGAAGTCGCGCATATTCTATGTAAATAAAGGTGGTATGGATATCCCTTTTCACCATCCCCCAACCCCCGGGGGGAGATCTTGAGATAGCAAATTTACAGATTCACAACCAACCAAAAAAAATATAGTTTGACCAGTGTACGAGAGATGTCGTGCATTAATAACTCAGATTTTGGGAGACAACTCTCGAATCTGTAAATCTCAAGATCCTAGGGACGGGGGGCTTTGATGATCTTATTAAGATTAAGATTCTATTAAGATTATCTCATTTCTCTCGTGAAGAAATATAATAAAATAATACTGGAAAACAAAAAAACAAATCAGCAGCTATTCGGACCAGGACTAGTTTAGAGGAATGTAAAAAATTAGAGAACAAAATATGAACATATAAAAATGTATAGTTATCTCCTTCAAAAACAAAGTAAAAAAGCTGGTAAGAAAAACAATAGGTCCAGCTGAAACTCAAAAAAAAAGTCCAGGCACACCAGTAAACCTTCTCGATGAAGGCACTAAAAGTATACTTCGAATAAAAGTTCACTCTTTTTATTTCAAAAAAGAAATACGCAGACTGGATAAGATTTTAATGGAGCTTGGCTAGGATGCTAGTACAACGTTCATAAATAACTGCGTCGGTTGTTGATGAATCAAACTTGCTGTTGTCTCGATTCACTGATTCTCATACTGGTGGCTTGAATCGCCGTTAATATTTTTTGGTTGCTTATATATTTCTATAGATTCTAGGAGTTTTCGTTGGTAGAAAAATTGATTATATCCAAGAATTTTAGTTTTATCGAATAAAATTTGGTTTCGTGATTGTGTTCGGCAACTGCTGACGAGTTGATATTTTTCGTCTGCTCTGTTCAATGTATTTTTTGCCGCATATGCATGAAATGCTGTAAACTCCTGCTGTCTCAAACGGAATTTTGTTTTAACGGAGCGAAGATGTTGGAACATTTTTGGACAAGTTGTAATTCTGATTTTTCGAAAACTGGTCATTGATGTTTTGAAAAGACAACAGTGGTAAGTGTGGGGTTGCTTTACGACTCTTTATAAGGTTGTGGTAAAGTGTATTTTGTGATGAAGCGCCTAATATCTCTAATTTGGAAATTATTAGAGAGAAAAACAGATATAAGGTGTTTTGATTATAGGTTCAGTAACGCGGATTGAGATAGTCTTACGGTTCTGTGAACAAGAGAGTTGATAACCGAAGATTTTTGAGCCGGTTGATGATGTGATAAGGTATACGTGTCCGTAGGTATTCCTTAAACACAATGACCTAATGTTAGGTCTGATTTTCTATCATTAGTTTCGAGCAGAATGCGAGCCAGTTTCAGTTAAGCCAACAAGATGATTGGCGAAACGTCAGCAAGTTGGATTGATCAACACCCGACGCAGGAGAAATCTAGAAGTTTTATTAATAGTAATCTTGTACTTTTTCGTCAAGCAAATTTCGCGATAAAAGTACCATCATTCAAGGAATCCATGCTTATATTATTTACTGTAGTAACAACATTGCATTCATTGATGGTAATGTAGTTATCACTAATTCATTTTACCTGGAATCATTCTCAGTTTGATTAAATGCCTGAAATCGCTTACCGTAAAACAAATAAAATAGATTTTCCATAATGGTTATTGGACCGTTATTTTAATACCCATTAAGTAAATGTTCCGTTTTCTTTTCCAATTTCTAGAATGCGTCATTATTTAATCTACATTTACAGACAATATAATTAGAATTAATGCAAATTGGATGGAACAAATAAATTTTCAGAACAATACATTTTCAGGTCAATGTTTATATATACTTTTGCTTCAGAACAAAGGGTGTAGTTAAGCTAACCAAAACTATGTCAAAAAAAAATACACGACTTGCAATGCTATTTCAAAAATATGCTTGTTTTGGGATGCAGAACCACTATTGCTATAACTACTCATAAATTTAATAATGAAATTGTATCACATAATGGGGAAAACTGAAAGAATTTGAAAACATCAAATCTGATTTTTTTTAAGCGGAATATCCACATTTCTATTATATGCTGTGTGTCCTATGAAGAATTTGTATTTTTCTTTTGTTGTTATGTTGATGGCTTGAATAAAATAAAGCAATTTAAATGGAAAATACTATTGTGGAGACTTCAAATAGCAAAAGAAAGAAATAGGCAGATTCTAAAGATGCTTAATTTGTATTTTCAAAATTAAATTTTTCGTACCACATATTTTATTTCTGGATTAAACGAATTAACTAATAATTATCTAAAAAAAAAACATTGAATTAAACCCATCCTTATTTTATTTTGTTAAATAACTTTATAGGAAGAATTTAATGGTTTTAATGTAATAATTTCACAACTAAAAGTTTACAAATTATCAACCAAAAAATCTATTTTTTTTTATCATACACTTTGCATGTTTTTATATCATTGCAAAGAACTTTAAAATTACCTTTCCAAAAATTTTGCATACTTGATATTTTGCTCGAGTTTCCTTGGAGAAGTATTGAAATTTGAACAAGTAGGCTGTAGACAATACCAGCGTAACACAAAATACGAATGCGTGGCCAAATTCTGATTTTGATTGGAGAGACGCTAGTTTACTAGTCTAAATTTCAAGTAAATTTCATAAAATCAACAGGAAATTCATATTTCGTTAAATATTTCTATGAACCGCTTGCATCACTTTTCTGGTACTATTTACTATCATCAACATCGTAAAATTATTTTTAACTCGTAACAGGAAGATCATGTATAGCTTATTAGTCACCTATTCTCAAAATATTGAAATAGAATGTGTGGCAGTCTTCCCAAAATGTTTTTAAGAAAAATGTTTTCTTTCAAAATATTGGTCGATATGCAAATTGTTTGCTGTCTCTACGTGCTTCTCGGCTTTCCATTATTATAGCCGATACATCCGAAGCCTATTTGTTGAAAACTCTTGAGTATAATATCAAATATGTCCTATATTTGGAAAGGTAATTTCCAGTGTATAAAAATCAATTTTTTTGTTGATAACTAAGTAACTATTAGTTTTAAATATTTTGTATTGAAACACGGAAAAATTTTTTTAATTCAATTTACCATTAAATGTTACATAAAAATTGAGATAAAGACAGATAAAAGTACTCAATCCGACTCACCCCGTACAAGGGAATTATTTACACTGATATTAAAAACACAAAAAACACACATGCAGCTTGATATGGTTTTCAAAATATCTATCGCGTATGCAATGTTGTAGAGTTATACACGATTCTAGATACAAGATACAAGATATTCATTATTCTAAGATTAAGTAAGTATAGGAGTAAGAATAATATGAAAAATAATTTTTAAGAAAATCTACTATTTACAATACAACTTTCTTCTTTACAATACTTCTTTCTTCTATTTCAGAAGTGATATTATGACTTGCTACGAATCATGTCTGAAACTGCTCCTTAATTGAAGCAAATACATGAATCATGGAATTGTTTTGTAAGATGATGTGAGTACGTTTCCAGATTTTCTTGAGTGATTTATTATTCCCGATTATAACAGACCCAGATGGAATAAGAAGTAACATTTGGGAAAGTAATCTTTAAAAACATCAGCATTCATGATTTTACGATTTTCTCATGATAGTAAGCCACTACAGATAAATCCATTTTTGAAACCAACGTGAGAAATTATTAATCTTTAACTTTTCCGTAGGATGTTTTTATTCCAGTGGAATATATTTTCATGAAAGCTTTTTAAATTTGTATCCTGCTGTGTTTATTATCTTGCCATGGCGATGATTTCTCTGTTCCAGATAATTTATATTTCTGTTAGACTGCTCCCAAAGACAATTTCAATTTCGTCTTTCTCTATTAACAGTGAGTTTCGGTTTTCGATTTTATCGTAACCAAAATTCATTTCATTACTTTCGCCAATTAGCTTCTTCACAGTTGAACTGAAACTATTTTGGTTAACCGACGTAGGAGATTTATAAATAGTATTACAGTAGTAGCCTGTGGAAGTTTCCTCGAAAAATTAATAATTTTCTCATTTTTAAATGGCTCAAATTTATCACCCTTGCAATTTTCATCAACGAACTTTGCCAACAACTCGAAATCCCATTTATTATATTATACAAAATCGGCCCGAAAATCGATGAAAATTGAAAGTTTTATATCTCGCTCATTTATAATTTAGAGATTTTTTTATTTTCGACGTTATGTATATATAACTTTTTTTTACCAATATTTTGTCTTCTGGAGGAGCTAAGAAACTTAGAATTAAATAACCTCCAATTTTTTTTTACATCTTCGCTACCCCCTATCTTCGTGCCAAATTTCAGCCAGATCGGTTAATATCCACCTCGATCCAAAATTTTCATAAGCACATAATTATAGTTCTCATTTTAAACACTAATGTACAGGTACGTCAACCTAATTGTCCGTCTACCTGCCACTACTAGGACCAATGAAAATCATCATAGCGCTCGGTTACAATGCAATAATTATTTATGTCTTAGGCATTAAAAAACAGCATGAGTGTAGTTGATTCGTGTCTATCCTGCCCTGTACGATGAAAATAACGGCAAGCGGTTTCATGGAAATTAAATTTTCGAAAATGGGTTGAAATAATCCCTTACATATCATGTCAGGCTGCAATATTGGTTAGAAACCGATGCACCTGAGGACTAGCAAAGTATACAATTTGCGCCTTGTGCCTTTGTGATCCCATATTTATGGCGGAGCTATTATTAAGCGCTATTCACGGCAAAATGAAATAAGGCTCGCCCTCAGGGAAACTTTGAAGAGACGGACTTTATGCATAGGGCCCGACTTAATTGTGTGGCGAATATAAATTACGAAATCCAAATTCAATGGTTTGGTTAGACACGGATGTCTGCGGGTGCGGAAAGGAAATATGGTTCCCAATTAATAGAAAATATGCCAATAATCGAAACTTTTGCAAGGTAAGTTTCAGGTGATTGACGTAAATGTCATAAGCGCTACGTCTTAATAACATTAAATTCAATGAGTGCTAATTTCGCACCGAATGAAGTTCGTCTTCCCAACAAATGATCTGTTACATTATTTTCTTTTCTTAAGCAAAATGGCATCGATCAAATGCTTTCATGGGTCCAATTCGATCCTAAGTCCAACTTTCGAGACATCGGTGCTTAAAGTTGGACAAAGAGAAATTTTAATAGATTTCCTATCATTTTAACAATAGTCCACAATAAATTTTAAATACTTTTGTGACAGTATTGCCCTGGAAGAATTTTGCAAATCTAAGAAAAACATTGAAGATCGGAACATGGAATGTGAGAAGCCTATTTGAAGCTGGGAAACTGGCAAACCTTCACCCTCGCCGACTTTATACTTGGAAGACTTCAGCGGATCAACCACATAATGTAGTGCGAAATAAAATAGATTTTATCCTGATCAACCAAAGATATAGATCAACCATTAAAAGAATTACATATCCTGAGGCAGATTTTCCTTCTGACCATGTACTATTGGTAGCCGACTTGAAAATCTCTCTATCAAGGCAAAAGAAGGGTGGCCCTAGAAAAGTTGAGGGACCCAATAATAAAATCCGAAATATCCGGGATAAACACACAAATACAAACAATAACATCAAGCACTGGAGTAGAGCCAACACAATTCTGGACAAAGATAAAGGAGATTGCAATAAACTCAATGCAAAACAGATTAGCATATAAGACAAAGAACGTCGAAAGTACAAGAACAAAACAGACAGCAACAAGTGCAAGGAAATTCAAAGACTCATTAGATCAAAAATGAGAACAGCAAAGAACGAATGGCTTAGGCGTGAGAATGCTCAGAGATAGAACAGCTGCAAAATCAACACGATGCTTTTAATCTGTACAGAAAGCTAAAGGAGAGTGCTTGCATATATAGGAATACGAAATCAGCTATAATAATAATAAAAATCAGATAATACTCGACAGCAATGTGAGGAACAATATTTGGGAAAAACATATTGAAGAACATTTCGACGGCGACGGACCCGTAACTGGTACCACCAACTCTCTAACCAGATTATCGATCACTAAGGACGAAATTGAAGGTGTCATATGTAACTCAAAAAATAACAAAAGTGTTGACCCAGACGAAGCCAGAAATACTTAAACTCCTAGATAAAAAAGGCACAAAATGTTTAACACTCTTTATGAGACAGGTCGCTACCTGTCGCTGTGCTCTTCTAAGATGGTCAACGCAAGAAAATGTGAAGATCATAGACTTATTAACTTGATGAACCACAATTTAAAAATATTTCTGAAAATCATACACGAGAGAATTTACAGGAAATGTGAAATAAATTATAAGCGGCTCGCAATTTGGGTTCAAACAGGAGTTAGGTGTACATGTGTTTATGTGTCATAGATTATGAGAAGACATTTGATCGCGTACATCACCACAAATTAATGTAGCTCCTCAATAGGCTTGATATAGAACAGAAATAAATCAGATGCATTGAAAACATATATTGGAACCAAACTGCGCAAATCAAACTAGGCAATAATATGGCCAACACCATACAGTCAAAAT